AAGTTCAGTGATTGGCATCGCATGGACTAGATATGTGGACCCCTCAAAATGCTAAGGACAAAATTGGCAAAGGCTCAAGACTCTTCATTTTCATTTTAGTGATCCAAGATCACATTGAGTCCATAGAGAGCCAATAATATTAAAAGGGGATGAGGTGTTGCTTAATGGTCTACTTGCTCAAAGTGCTTAGTGATATTGCTCTAAAACCCTCAACCACTTTCTCATTTCCACATATGTCCAAAACCTAAAGTCAAACTCGACCCCACCGATTTGATCTATCCGGCGCCACCGAGTTCACTTGACATAGCCATAGCCAGAAACCCTAATCAATTCGGTCTCACTAATACGGCTCTCGGTCTCATCGAGATGGCTTTGAAAACTCTCTGTTTCCCTTTGTAACATTTCGGTCTCATCGAAATGAGCGATCGGTCCCACCAAGTTTGCATTGCAAACTCTCTGTTTTCTTTTCATAACATTTCGGTCTCACCGAATGAGCGATCGGTCCCATCAAGTTTGCTTGACCAATTCTCTATTTGATAAATTGCTGAAATCGGTCTCACCGAGTTCATGCAACCGGTCTCACCGAGATGAGGTTTTGCCCTAGCTAGAGCACATCGGTCCCACCGAGTTGATCTTGTCGGTCCCACCAAGATTCCTAACATTCACATTTTGAACTAAATCGGTCTCATCGAGTTTATCTATTCGGTCTAGCCGAGTTGGGTCAAACGTGTGTAATGGTTAGATTTTGTGTGGAGGCTATATATACCCCTCCACCCCCTTCTCCATTTGTGAGAGAGCCATCAGAACATGCCTACACTTCCACTACTCATTTTCCGAGAGAGAACCACCTACTCATGTGTTGAGACCAAGACATTCCAATCCAACCACAAGAATCTTGATCTCTAGCCTTCCCCATGTTGCTTTCCACTAAAACCATCTTTCCACCATAGCCAAATCCGTGAGGGAGAGTTGAGTGTTGGGGAGACTATCATTTGAAGCACAAGAGCAAGGAGTTCATCATCAACACACCATCTATTACCTTTTGGAGAGTGGTGTCTCCTAGATTGGTTAGGTGTCACTTGGGAGGCTCGGTCAAGATTGTGGAGTTGAACCAAGGAGTTTGTAAGGGCAAGGAGATCGCCTACTTCGTGAAGATCTACCCAAGTGAGGCAAGTCCTTCGTGGGCGATGGCCATGGTGGGATAGACGAGGTTGCTTCTTCGTGGACCCTTCGTGGGTGGAGCCCTCCGTGGACTCGCACAACCGTTACCCTTCGTGGGTTGAATTCTCCATCAACGTGGATGTACGATAGCACCACCTATCGGAACCACGCCAAAAATCTATGTGTCTACATTGCGTTTGCCTTCTCCAAACCCTTCCCTTTTACCTTCATATGCAATGTTTTACTTTTCGCTGCTACACTCTTAGAATTGCATGTGTAGGTTGATTGCTTGACTTGTGTTAAGTTGCTAAAATCTGCCAAGACTTAAAATTGGGAAAATGCTAGTTTTTTATTTGGTCAAATAGTCTAATCACCCCCTCTAGACCTACTTTCGATCCTACAGAGTACCTGTAGGGATGAAGAACACGAATGAGACAAGAGACAACTACAACTCAACTTTATGCTACACATGCGGGACATTAATTCATACTACTTCCATCGACCTCTCCAACAATTACATTGGGTTGCAAGGCCTTGCCTCAACCATGACCTTACTGAACTACTCACACATGGAGATCAGATCACACTAATAACTCATCGATGAACACATCGTGAAGATTGATTGATTGATAATATGTCTTACAATGGATGTTGTGTGTGATACATGATTACAAATATGGATAGATGGTTGAGAACTATAGTGGTGATGAAGGTTGTGGCTATAGAGATGGGAAATGGCAGTGGCTAGGGTTGATGGAGAGTGCTACTATGAAGATGACGATGACTGACTTGTTCTGGTGCTCATTTGACGTTGGGCCCTTTTATAATGGTTGTTCAGGTGGATCAGACGCCTCGGTTAGCACGCCCTATGACCATCCATACGAGCGAGGATAGTCGTATGGAAGGCCGTCTTTTGCTTTGTTTCCTCTTGTGCACCTCCACTTGATCTCTATTTCCACTTTACTCCCTTGCATGTATTGGCTTAATTTCATCTGTAAATAGCCCATTTCCCATGGAAACAAAATAAAGATCGGACATTTAGAATCCTTTGCATTCATTAGTCATTAGTGGCAATATCGAAGCAAATATCTCGGGTTAAATGAAATATTTTGGTTTAAACTCATGTTAGAGGAGTGTAAAAGTAACACTCATCACCTCATGTGTCATTTAATGCATTTTGTCCTACTCTGACGGAGGTAGGTATTGACCACTGTAGCCACTATGGTACCCCTTGCACTATAAAAGGAGGATCATGTTACTGTAATGGGGCCGAGCCACTGAATAGCTGAGAGTGTTAGTGAGCAATTCCCTTTTCGAGAAAGGCTTGTAGCTCTCTGTCTATCCACATATAAGCACAAAGCAGGACTAGGGTTTTACGCAACCATGCATCATGAACCTGGGTAGGTCCTTGTGTGTTCTACGTTTTCATATGTTATTGATCTTCATTGCTGCGCCCCTCCATGAATGAGTGAAGGGGCCTTCGCGACCCTTGCTGTCCTATGTGTCTTGCACACAGTGACACATTCATATGCCAAGAATGTGATGCAGTATTATTCTCATATATATTCTCACTAGACGAGTGCATGTGCGTTGCTAAGGAAGACCACTCATTTATAGATAACATATCCACTGACTATTTAAAATTATTAAGCGTGCATTTACATTATTATAAAACCTAAAACGATAAAAAGTGCATTGGAATAAAAAATGCCTAAAACATAAATCGACATATTGAAGCCTATTATTTTTTTTGATCCTGTAGCGAAAAATCCCATTAATGATAATGACAATTTTCTACATGGCCTGGGACATAGCCCATTATTGATTTGAGCCCAATTTGGGACCGCCCGCCGTCTGCATTCCGCAAAGATTACCCATCCAAGGGACAGTCCAGATCTATCGCGGGTGGAACGAAACCATCCCAATGGAAACCCTAGCAACTATTTCCCTCATTTTTTCCGGATCAAACCAGACAGAGGTGGCGCCGAGGTCTATTGGCTTGCCGGCGACCACGCGCATGGAACTTGATCTACCGCAGAGCAACACGAGGACCGCAATGACTTGTGACAGTCGCCGAAGTGATGCTCAGGCACCCGCACCGTCTTGCATGACTGTGGGCCTCTGCGCCATGGTAGGGTTGGTGGCACGCGACTAAACAGAGAGTTCCAGGTCGAGGTGTGAGGCAGTGCAATGCGGCGGCGCATCGACGATGAGCTAACACTGACAACAACGCGTGGCATGGAGGCTACCAAGGTATGATGTTCCCATGTCGAACTTTGGTTTAGGAAGATTTGATTTCTTGTGTGAATGTAAAAATGCACTTTAGCTGCAAAATAGGCAACTAAGTCATCGTGACTTGTTCATGAGAAATACCAGGAAGTTAAGTTATTTTTGGAAGCATGTAAAATTTCGGACTGTTGTAAATATGTTGCCATGATTTATTGGCTTACCAAACAGAACGTTGATTACCCACGCGATTGATATGCATCATTTGTCTTATCGATTTGATTCGGAAAACTGGACAAGGTAAAAGAAAACCCGGATGTGTGGTGGGGTGAGTGTTTTGTTGGCGTGGGAAGAGGATATTTTCTTTGAGCTATGGGAACATGATAGTTGGATGAAAGATAAAACAAACGACAAAACATTAAGTTTTTCTAAGTAGGAGAAGAAAAAGAGAAGGACATATGTGTTTTAGTTTTACATTCAATAATTTCGTTGCTATAAATTTCCACAACAATGTGTGATGGTAGCAATGCGGGGAGACTGGTACATGATCTCGCATTAAAGATCATGAGATCAAGCACAAAAAATCATATTTAGACATTTCAATTTTTTTTAAAATTATTTGACAACATATCCGGGGGGTGTATCTACAACTTCAAAAAAGATCAACTCAAAACTCAATGTACAGTTGGAGATGCAAAAGAGAGAAATTTGAATGTGAGATTTGGGTGAATAGTATTTTGACGCTATTCACATCTGATTTTGCCTTTTCTGTTTCTATTAGTATAGGTCGAATTAAGAGCTGAATGTTTTTAAGATTGTACATCAAACATTGATGTGTGTCTACAATTAGGAGCTGACTATTTTGTATTTTCAAAAAAAATCTCACCTAATATGAGATCCTCCGGATGCTAAGGCCCAGTTCTTTTGCCAGAATCTAGGGATTCTCCCAAAATCCGACCCCTACCCAGCTTCTCTCAGAATCTTCGAGCTCCATTTGTTTTACAATCCTATCTATTTAAACCATAACTAGATAGGATTTTAAAATAAATGAGGCTCAAAATTTTTGGAAGAAGCTGGCAAAGCGTCACTTTTTTCAAAAGGAACGAGTTTTTTCTGACTGAATCCATCCATAAAGCCGCCAAGGAAACGAAGTTCGTTCCCTTTCATCAAGTGGGTAAGGTAGGCAAACCACTTAAGCTTTGCCTTAGACTGACGGAACAAAGCGCAGAAGAACTGGGCCTAAGTTCCCGGCAATGCTGTCTACGCGTTCTGTGCGGCGTCATATGACGGTTTGCGTCCTGAGCGTTGTCTTCATCTAACCGTCAGTACCTCGATCGACGGCCACTATATACGCGCAGCCTCGCTGGCCCATCGTGATCTTGTCGACTAGGCGTGGGCGCACGCTCTGTTCGGGCCCGACCCAGCGCTGAAGCGAAAAGCTCCGATCCCACCCCACGCGGGCCGCCGCCGCCGATTCGTCGCCGGCGGTATTGCCCGGCCACCTACCCCGAAGGCCCCCCCTCCTCCTTGCCGTCCCGCAGCGGTGGCCTCGATTTCCTCCCAAAACCGTTGTCGCGGGAGCTTAAGCTGAGGCGGAAACCCTAGCCGCGTCGATGGCGGGGGAGCTGGGGCAGCAGACGGTGGAGCTGGGGTCCGTGGTGCGGCGGGCGGCGGAGGAGTCGTACCTGGCGCTGCGGGAGCTCGTGGAGAAGTCGCAGGTCGAGTCCGACTGGAAGGGCGCCTATGGCGGGCGGCAGCGGTCGGACTCCGAGAAGAAGATTGACCTCCTCAAATTCATCGCCCGCACCCGCCAGCGCATGCTCCGCCTCCATGTGCTCGCCAAGTGGTGTCAGCAGGTCGTTGTTGATTGAGATGAGGCCGTTTTCTGTTTGCCCTAGACAGTACCCTTATTGCCACAGTAGTGTAGTGAAATGCGGTCAATTAAATAGGTATAGACTTCTGAATTTAGGGGCTGTTTCGTTGGTATCCTCACATTGCTACCATAGTTGGGGCAAATTGGCACTTCATTTGGTCGGCTATTTCTTCTTGCTTTATTCGTCCAG